CCTCTTTGCCTTAGAAGCAAAAGAAAAATAAGAATTTCAGCATTCCATTTATCCTTCCCCTCTAGAGCTCGAGCTCGTCACACAAAGCTAGCTCGTGCTATACAGCACCCAGCCCATGGGTCCTTGTTCTTCATTCTCCAGTGTCTTCGTGTTGCCTCATTTTTACCATCTTGGCCCTCGATCATCAAGGCCAGCATCACCCTGTATGTCCACCTTTGGCTAGCTGCTTTTTTTTTTTTTTCTTTCAGGTACCAGGGATTGAACTCAGGACCTTGCACTTGCCAAGCAAGCACTTACTCCACTGAGCTATCTTCCCGGGCCTGGCTATCTGCCTTTTTGTGTGTGCCTTTCTGGAATCTGAGCTCAGACAGCTTTCAGTGAAACCACATGAGCATCTTAAGGGATCTCTTCAGATCTTCCTTTTAATGTCACTATTATTTCCCAAAACTTGTGAAGGTCCAGGCCTCCTAAGCTTGTCCCATGAAATAATATCTATTCTCTGAATTATTTAACATGCAGCTCCTTAAAGACTTAATTACCATGAGCTCTGAAATTTCATGACCTTTTCTCCCAAGGTCTTATTTATTTTCTATTTACCAACCATTTCCTCCTGTTTTAACAGTTTAGGATGTAAGCAGCGGCTTTTATTCTGCTTCCTTTAACAGGTGATAACTGCCAGTATTTAGAGAAATGCAACTCCCAGGTATAGATAACTAATCTCACTCTATCCTCAACCCAAACTGCCAAAGTTCCTACCTCTCCACGGCTCCACTCTTGCTTCCTGTCATCTTTTACAAAGCTTCAGAGGCAACTTTCTGAGCCCTGGAATGTATCACATCATTCACCAGCTAAAAACCTTCCTTGCTATAAAACACATAGAACTCCTCAATCTAACTGAAAAGGCAATTTCATCTGGTCCCAAGCAGTATTTTCCAGTTGGATTTTGGTTAATTCCTCATCAGCACCCATAAAAGAACCTAGATTAGCCCATTCTAGGTCTGCTACTAACTACTGACCATACCTGACACACATATTCACACCTCAGGTTTGTCTGCCATTGCACTGCTCTCTAGTCAGTCACCTTCTCCAATCCATCCCGAGGAAACCCTTCTTCCCACACTGGAGTTGAGGTTTGAACCCAGGTCTTGAATGTGCAGGACAAACTCTACCAGCCAGCTAAAGCCCCAGCCCTCTACCTCACCTTTAATGTCTAAGTAGCACCTCTCTGTACAATCTCCCCAAATTCTAGAGCCATTTCCACCAAACAATGCAATAATAACTGCTCTTTCAGCTGGATTTTCATAATACGCTAATTTATTACAATGCCATATCACAGTTATTTACTTATGTTTCTCTGTCCTACTAATATTAATCCAGGGCAAAGATGGCATCTTATTTCAATGTTTTTCAAGTGGCAGAACTCAATCTGTCATTAATAAATAAATGAACTGAGTAGCAACACGTTAATAGATTAAAACACAAATATCAAAGGGTTAGATTAAGCATAACAATTACTAAGTCCAAATCTGAAAAACTTAGTTACAGGACATGTACATAAGTAAATTGTGACAGAAAATGTACCTCTTACTATGAGTGGAGGTAAAAATAAGTTTAAAAATTTGTCTTATTAATTTTATGTCTCCAGTGCATACTGGCTGATCCACAGCAAGGGTTCAAAGTAGTTGCAGAAGAAAAGTTAGCAGTATCTTACCTAAGGACCACATCAAAAACACATCATTCATGTCCTTTATCACGGTTTCTTTCTTTCTTTTTTTTTTTTAAATAGCGAGGTTTTATTTTTTTATTTTATTTTTTAATTTTTTTTGGCAGAACCGGGGATTGAACTCAAACCCTTGTGCTTGCCAGGGAAGCACTTGTTCCACTGAGCCATCTCCCCAGCCCCTATCACAGTTTCTAATACACTCATAATCATGCCCCTTGTGGGTTTTTTTTTTTTTTTTTTTTATATGCAAGCATTAACTTTCTGGATTTAAAATTCAGGACCAGTTCTACAAAGATTTTTATCTTTTGGACCCAGACTTCTTTTACATTGTCTAACCTTCCAATGCTACACGTTTGTCCATAAGTTTTACCCTCATGAATCTTCTGTATCATTCAATAAAACAAAATTTCCCAGCTTGGGAGAGTAGCTCAGTGGCAGAATGTGTGCTTAGCATGTACAAGATCCTGTGTTCAACTTCTAGCATCAAAATCAAACGAACAAAAAAACTCATATCCATAACCCTGCTATCTCCTTCAAGAACTGAGCCTATTAACCTTTCTTCACACTTCAAAAAACAGAGAAGTCAACACTTTTTGTCTTCTTTTGTCTCCCACACCTTCCTAAAACCACTGTACAGTAATTGGCCTTCAGCTCAGGATGTTGACGACCCAACCTGCCTAAGCACTAAATGTAGCGTCCTTTTATTAACTCTGAGTTTCAACTGCTCCACAACTGGCTTCTATGGAAAGGTACTTTACTAACTTGTTTTTTCTTCTACCTCTATGCAGAAGAATACAAGGCACTTGAAAACATGCCTAGCTAAGTACTACACAAGTGGTAGCCAATTTTCTATTCATTCTTCTTATCCCCTAAATAACAGGGGAGAGATAACTATCCAAGATTTTGTTTTCAACATCTTCTGCCCCTCCATGTTCTCTCTTAGTCATCTACTTACAAAGTTTCAATTAATCCACTTATAGGACTATTATAAGCCTGTCATAAATCCACATGTCTCCTGAACCTCTAGGCCCATTAAAGAGACCTGAAGCTGAATCTCTTTCCCAATGCCCTTAAATCTTTTAAATAACACTATTATTTAATCTCATCATTTATCCCTTCACTTTCTTCCTTTACCATCACTACATGCAGTCAATCAATTCTCAGATTCTGTCAACCCTTCCTCCCCAATCCCTTTTCTTCCCATTTCCCAGCTCAGGCCTTCCTTATCACTCATCTTTTGGAGTTCTCCAAAATAGTTTTACACCCCTCCAAGACTCAACTGCTCAATACTGTCAGATAAACAGCACAAACCAGAGCTCCAGTTGAGCTACTTAGGTCGAACCCTTCAAAGGATCCATTTTCCTTTAAAAATGCAAAATTGGAGCTGGGCATGGTGGTGCAGCCCTGCAATCCCAGCACTGGGGCAGGAGGATCCCCAGGAGCTCAAGGTCAGCTTGAACTACTTAGCAATACCCTACCTCAAAAAACCAAAACACCTGGTCCCACATGCCGTGCCAGCCTTGACCGAGTCCGGGGATGGCAGTATACTCCTGAAATCCCAGAGCAGGGGAGGTTCAAATAGCAGGATCACCACAAGTCTGAGCTGCGTAGTGAGACCCTGTACCAAACACATAAATGGAAAAAAAAAAAAGAATGAAAGAAAAAAACAAAACTCATCCACATGTCAAGCCGGCCTCGCCCCTGGGGCAAGCTGAGCAGGTGACTCAGTCCAGGGTGATGGAGGCCAGGCATGGTCGCACAGGTCTGTAATCCCAGCACTGGGGAGGCTGAAAATAGCAGGATCACTATGAGTCCGAGCTGCATAGTAAAACCCTGCACCAAACACATAAAAAATGGCGGCGGGGGGGGGGGGGAACCACACACACAACACAATTTTCAGGCTAGTGTTCAATAATGTCCACAAAACTGGGCTGGGGTTTAAAAAAAAAAAAAAAAAAAAAGAGTACACAAAATGGCATCAACACCATCCCTTAGTATTCCTTTCATTACAGCACCCAAGACCAGGCCAAACAAGAAAATTCTTTAGGTCTTCTCTCACTTATATCTTGAACATATTACTAATGAGCACCCCTCCCTGTATCTTCATATTTTGTTACCATTTTACCAACCTTACATATCTTAGAGCCCAAGTCCTCCACAGACTTTCAGCGATGGGGTGGCGTGTTCCTGACTGCCTTAGTCCCTGGTCCCAGAGACATTAACTCCTCTTGTAAATTTTCTTCGTATGTGGGAAAGACTCTTACAGGACTATGTTCTCTAACATATAGAGGCTATTTATATAATGACTTAGACTCTCTTACGACTTCTTAGAAGCAAAGGCCATTTCTTAATTTATTTCTGCAGCTCTTTGGCCAACGTATCTTGTGAATCTTTCTCTTTTTGTGAGTAACCTAACTTGTAGTAACAAAAGGTCGTGTAAAAGTTCTACAAAACCTCAGACACCCCAAGAGTGCCATGCTAACAGTCCTAACAGAAGTCCAGAATGGGTAGGGAATATAGCTCAGAGGAGTAAACGCCTGCTTGGCAAGCGCAAGGTCTCAAGTTCGATCCCCGGTACCAAAAAAAAAATCAATCCAAAAGAAAGATTCAACTAGGGCGAGAGGTAGAAAGGAAACGACAGAGAGGTTAAAGAAATTATCTCCATGGATCATGTTTCGTGCATTCCACACTGTCCCTGACAGTTCAGGACCTCATAATCAAAGGCCAAGATAACTGGACTCCAGAACCAACTACGTCACTTGCTTGCATAGCGCCTAGTCCCAACCCTCTGAACCTCTTTCTTAAAACTATGTTGAGTGAGGTGCTTCAACTACAAGATCTCCAAGTCCCCTCCTCAGGCAACTGTGGTTTCTACAAAGAGTTAAACTGTCGCGGCAGCCGGGCCCGTGACAGGTCTTCGCAGCTTCGCCCCCGGGCTCACTTCCTCATCTTCCAACCCAACAGCACGGGTCTCGTCTGCTCTGGGCTACTTCAGCGCCTGCGATCCAAGTCATCACAGCCAAGTCACAAAGCGTCCGTCCCTATCACCGCACAACTGATCTGGAAAACGCTTCAGAGAAGGAGTACGTTCTCGGGGGGTGCGGGGGCAAGCTGGGTTTGGGCTTGATGCCGCAGCTGCACCCCAACAGGCGCCCGCCCGGGAACCCACCGAGCCCGGAGTCCCTAAGGCTACAGCCTGAAGCCCCTCCCTCCCTCCTGGGCTCCCTCCTTTCCAGTACCGAGGGATCCTCTAACACGCGACCACAGCCCTCCTCACCGAGCAACTCGAGGTTCATCCCTGCGGACTTCAGCCGCCTAGCCTTAGCTCCGGCAACAACTCCTGGGTCTCCGCCGGCTTCTAAGACCCACGCCTAAGCGTCGGGCGCCGCAAAAACCCGGGCGCAAGCTCGGGAGACTTTCAGACTTAGAAGGCCCCGCCGCTTCCGCTTTTCTCCCCGCCTTCCATGGTCTTCTCAAGAGGCTTTCCACATCTATGCCTAACCGAAAGAATAAACTCTCCTGGAGTCAATTAATTATTATCTTTTGGAGGTTTAACAATGTTAAACTTACGTCTTTAAAACATGCAAGAGTTTAAGGTTTTCTCGCCGGGAACACAGACACAGGTGAGAAACAAATTTCAGGCACAAAGTTAGCCTACTAACCCCTTGATCTGTTGTGTGTTCCATAGTACTGTCCGGGCGGACCACCTCCGAGTTCGCAAGAAAGGTTCCGGGACGTTCCCTCTGACATGCAAGAGCGGGAAAGGTCGGCCTCTAGTGTCGGTATTGGAGCACAGCAGATGTCAAGGTGCGTTCGTGGCACCCTGTGTGTGGAAGTTTCATGAAAATGATTCCCTGGGGCCGGAGAGATGGCTCAATAGAATAAGCGCTCACCTGGCAAAGACAAGGTCCTGAGTTCAATCCCCGGTTCCGCAAAAAAAAGAAATGACTTCCCGATTTCCCATTTGTAAAGGTGTGCCATTGATTGCACAGAAAGGTACAATAAAACATTTGTTAGTCTTTTACCTAAGGTTTTACCGTGTACCCAACATTAATTAGGATACTGGGAAAAAGAATAGGAGAAGTGAATTGAGTTCCCTGGGTAAGCTCATTCAGGCAAAGGCAGTGATGCCATACACAAAGCAATTAAAGATCAACGGATGACAGGCAACGAGGGTGGAGGGGAATAAGTTTTGTGTAAACAAAGTCATGACTGTGGCTGAGGCTCCCTGCGGAAAGTAGGACCCAGGTTAGAACCCACCGTGTAGAAAGAATGCCAGTAATTCAGCTTTACCCTAACTCACTGCACCCCTTGAGCAGTATTTGATCCTCTGTGCCTCCGTTTTCATATATGTAAAATGGGTGATAATTTTAATACTTATAGGATTGTAAGCACTTTAGGTGGCAAGTGCCCAGCCAATAGTAACTGTTACTTACAGATCATCTTCCTTTTTACATTACAGTATGTCATTTCCTTCAGCCCATTAGGGTAGCTATTAGCCCCATTTGACAAAATACAGCAATAGATACTAGGTAGTTTGTGCTCCTCCCCATAGCCAAAATATTGAAGTATCTAAAAGGCTGTACTTCTAGCAATAGGAGTATTTCAGCACACTCTTGCCATCATTTATTAATAAAACAGTTAAGGACTACCATGGAGAGTGGTGGGACAGCAGGCTGAGATGACAAAAAAAAAAAAAAAAAAAAAAAAAAAAAAAAAAAAAAAACCAAAACTCCTGAGTGCAAACTATTGCCCTATGTGGCATGCATATTTCAAAAACCCCTTTATGAGAACTGAGAGAGCCAGAAAAGCAGAATGTTTGTATGAGTTACCAAGGAAAATGCCAAGTAACCCCTTTAGCTTTGCTTTCTCTTAGTCAACTTAGAGTTATTAATTTTGGATGTCACATGGGTGGACAATGAATTATTAATTTCTCACTAACTTTGCTGTAAGTAACACTTCTGACATCACAGTTGCCTAAGTTGCTTCTCACAGACCAGAAAGCCACTTTGCTTGAGGACACTGACCAATTCTTCACTCAGAGTCTGGTGGATGACTCAAGTAAGATAAAAGGCTCGGCATCTCTGTCTTCATATTATTTCGGTCCCCTTTGCTATTATAACAGGCGAGTCAGATTCCACTCAATTCTGCATGTAGACAATGTTGATCATTTTAGAAATGTTTTGTCCAAGACAGTGACAGAGTTTATTTGGCCTATTGACCATTGTAGTTGGATGTGTTTTTCTGCCCCACTTCTGTGCTCTCTCAGCACTACAAGTCCTTCAGCCCTGCCATAAGTCCAGATGCCAGCTGCCGGAGTAACTCAGCAATTCTTGGACAAAGTTGGCCACCTGTTAGCCCACCAAGTACAAAGCCAACATGTTCTGCTCAGAATGATTACACCAGATATAGGAAAACTTACTAGCTTGTGGATGAGTTGACCATAATCAGTCAATAATCCAAATCCATCACAATAGGAAACATCTTTTAAAGCCATTCCCCCAGCCAGGGAAAATTACTAGACTTTCGCTCATCCCCACAAATCAATAAAAACCTGCTTCTGTCTTTACTTGGTTACTCAATCAACTAGTTTCTTTCTCCCTTTAGCCAAAACTCCAGTTTGTCTGAAGTCCCCTGTTCCCAATAAAGCTTTGCCTGTGCAGGAATATGTATGCTTGCAATTTTTGGTCCAGTCTTGTTTCTTTTCTCTGGTTCAGAATCCCCTTGTCCAGTATCATAATAATACTCTTAAACTCTGCCTGTTTTATAAGTGAAAGAATGACATGATTAAATTTATTTGTTAATGAGAGTGAAGAGCCTTTCACTTAGGTGATCTGTTGGTATCGTTATCTACTTTTTAGATGAGGATATTTATTGTGTAAGGTTTTTTGTTTGTTTGTTTTTTGCAGTACTGGGGATTGAACTCAGGACACTGCACTTGCCAGGCAAGTGCTTATTCTACTGTGCTATCTCCCTGGCCCCTTGCGTAAGTTTTTTGAGATAAGATCTTGCTATGTCGCTCGGGCTGGCCCGAAAATCATCATACTGCCTCAGCCTCCCAAGTTCTGGGATTACAAGCATGTGCCACCATGCCTGGCTCTCATCTTGTATGATTTTTGTTTTTGTTTTTGTGTGCTGTCCTGAAACTTAGGACCTTTACCTTGAGCTATATCCCCAGCCCTTTTTTTTATTTTTTATTTTGATACATAGTCTCACGAAGTCACTAGCCCAAGTAGGACTTGAACTTGTGATCTTCCTGCCTCCCAGAGAGCAGGAATTGCAGGCATGTACCTGCACACCAGGCTCTTATACATTTTTTTAAACAAGGAATCAAATTGCTGTTTAAGAAATAAGGTTTTTTAGCTCAGCACAGTGGCACATGTCTGTAATCCCAATATCTTGGAGGCTGAGGCAGAAGAATTGCAAGTTTGAGCCCTGCCTCAGTAGTTTAGCAAGACCATGTCTCAAAATTTTAAAAATAAATAAATAAGTCAAGGTCTGAATATATAGCTCAGTGTGAAGGCCCTGGCTTCCATCCCACATATGCAAAATAGGTAGTATGTAAATTTTTTATCCTGGGCATTGAACCTACACACTTGTGTACTGAGTTACACCCTTAGTCCAAGAAATGGAATTTTTAAAGACAGTTACAAATACAAATTGATTTTAAAGGCAGGAAGTCTTCAGGAGTTTACTGCAGTAGTACTGTGGATAAAGAAGAAAGGCCTGAGTAAAAGGCATACTAGAGGAAACAAAAGGCAATGCATTCACGAGTATGTAAGGGACAGAATTGATGCACAGGATAGACCTTTGCAAGGGGAAGTGAGTAGGGACTCATGAGTTTCACATACTCCTGTGTTTCTAGTTCAGGTGGTTCTGTTTGCCAGGGCGTAGAATATAGACAAAGGAAGGGTCCAGGTGCAGACATTTGGGGTGAAGGAGTGCATGAGATATCCAAGTGACTGTGTAAGCTCGGAATTCAAAGAAGAGATCTAGGATACAGAGTATCATATTTCACCAATTTGCTTGGGGATTTTCTTGAGGATAAAAAAGACTGGTATTACATGCTTTGAGTGGCAAGAGGGACAGTTAGGACTACTGGAAAACAGGGAAGAGTTAGAATAGCTTTAATAACAAGGAAAAGCTCAATAGCTGGAAGTCTAGTCCACTTCATTTTTACACTAAAGCCTATCATGTCTCACTGGGAAGCCATGTGTGCTGGGGCGTGGGCTTCTGTCCCAGCAAAGGGGTCACAGTCGGCCTAAGGGTGAGGTCTTCAAGTAACTCTTCTCCTGCTGGCCAGTAGCCTGGGAATGTGTACACTGGTGCTGTAGCTGGCTACATCTGCAGAAAAGTCGTGATGTTGAAAGTTGCATGGCATCCAGTTAGATGCAAGGCATGATCTAGGCCCACATTGAAATCATTGGTGAGTATGATACTGCTTGCTTAGCTAATCGATTCTAATATGTACATTTTCATATTTTAAAGTATCATATATATATCTTATATTTGATTATATCTCATAACCAACAGTAGGGTTTTTTTTCTTAGTACAGCATAAGATAGCTGTGTGTCTTATAACTCATATCTTTGTGGGATGAAAAACTAATTGATGAGTTTTACTTTGCAAGTGTTAGTTGGAGCTTATTCATACTACTAACTGTGAAAGGAAAGTAACCAGATTTGTGTTGAAGATAGCAAGAAACATAATAGTCTTTCATCTTGGCCTCAAGAAACTTATGCCTGTCATTCTACCTTTATGTGAAAAAGAAGAACTTGGTTCATATCTAGGCTGAAGTTACATCTCATTAAGATTTTGGATGTACAATCAGGAGTGGTGGGACATGCCTGTAATCCCAGCACTCAGGAGGCTGAGGCAAGTGGATTGCTATGAGTTCAAAACCAGCTTGGGCTATTGCATGAGTTCAAGGCCAGCCAGAACAACATCATGAGATACTGATTCATCCACATGGCTGCATTGATAAAGGTTCTACAATCTGAGGTACAGGATCTCAGGACAAATCCTGAGGGCATTTCACTGACCTTCTCAGACCAAAAAGCTACAACTCTTTGCATAGGTCTTGCTTTACCTTGGTCTTAACCATCCAGTAGAAAAGTATGAAGTCGAAATATAAGAAATAAAGCCATGCTGTTAAGTTGAGCTGTGGGGGACTCAGGTCAATAATTTCTGACATTGCCAATTAAACAGAAGACCCAATGCTATTATGGGCTACTGGACTCTTTTAGAATATTTTGCTGAGTTTACACACCTATAATATTCAATAACGGAACTTAGAAAAATGGGGTATACCGATGAATGTCCATTTTGCATTTGTGTATTCAAAGAGGTTGGGATAGATATATAGTTGCATTCTCTTAATGAATAGAATGATTTGTTCTAATGGTGTTTGTAAATAGGATCACAAGTCCGCATCTTGTACA